TCTGCAGAAAGTGTATTTTAAAAACAGATATATGTAAAAATTGTTTTGAATGAAATTTCCTTAAAATAAAATTTTGATATCAAAAGACATTCAGCAATCTAGTGTTAACGATGTTACCCTCTGTACAGCTTAGGAAAGTAATTTCTCGATCGACTAGACTCGACGATGTGGGTGTCGGAACGAGAAGTATCGGAGAGTATGTTCGTGTCGCAATGAAAAATAGAAGGCGGTTGCGAAACCGTGTGTCGATCAGTCCGAGTAATTATCGCGCAATAAATGTCGTACACGCGTCTCGGAGGAAGCGGGCGTTATGAAATTGCTGCGCGAGCGACCGCAGACTAATGGGGATCTGTAAAGTCTCATAAGCGGTTACTTGGCGAGCTAACCTGGTTAACGGTACTATAAATATGCGAGTGAACGTATATTCCCCCTTTATATTCCCGGCGCGAGTACGGGTCCCCTTGATGACTTTGTTGCGACTTCGCTGTTCCCTTCCTATCGTCTACATAACCCGTTCACTCCCCGTAAAACAATGACGACTGCATTCCTGTGTTAACACGTTGGAACACTGTCAACTTTATCGTTTGCTCCAACATAGAGTCAGCAGATGCAATGATAAAATAAAAGTGAAAAGATATATATTAGAGTATTAAATTGGCCACAGACGTAACTGCAGACTTGACGAGCACGTTCGATCGATCTTTTTGCAAGAACACGCCTGTTGAGCGTGCGGTCACGCCTAGCAGGGTATAAACGCGTCGCATTTTTCTGCTGACGAGATTTTTTCAACGAGAGAACAACAATCGTTACCAGTAATTGCAGTAATTAAATCCAAGTCGCTTCATTGTTCCCGTGAGCGACTTTCACTTAATGGCCAGTGGACACCGACGTCCTCCGGGGCACGTTAATTAACTTATCGGTGTCCCACTGTCGTCCTGTTTGCCAAAACCGTTCAATTTTCCAAGCTCGGTCGACTTTCCCTCGATCGGCTTTCTTGTAGCCACGCGAGATCGTTCAACATCCGAGAACAATGGGAACACCGATGGAAACTGTCATTCCGCGACCAACGACCGTCCCCTTGTTCTCCTTCGTGCGTTTGCAATTGTCCCGTTCAGAACGAACACAAGTAGAAATCCTCGTTTCCCTTCCAATTTCACCCTTTACAGATATTTAACACGCTTCGCAAACGAGAAATTTAATGCATAATAGAAAATGCTTTGAAAAATACTTTATGCCAAGAAATAAGCCAAGCATAACAAGGAGACAGTAAGATATGTGTAATTACAGATATTTAATCGTATAATACTTACGCAGTTGTTGGTATCGCGGAAACGCGTTTCTGACGGAAGACTTCAACGCCCAGACAAGAACTATCACGATGTACAACGGTACCAATTTAGAAGTTGCAATTAGAACTACGAAAGGAACTACTTAAATATATTGTAACTTGATAAGAACTACTTCAAACAATTGTCATATATAATAAATAAATTCTATTTAGGAGTAGTATTGAAGTTATAGATGAGGGATTTGAACGAAGCACAGGAACGATGTACGGTTATCGTTCGAATCGCAGAGATTTTTAGCGATAGTGATCGTATCAGGAAACGATCGTGCCCGATGCTATTATCCGAGATTCGTTAATAAAAAGGGCGTGGCAGCAGAGTGAAAGCATATCCATAACGCATTTTAGCTATTGTCGAAAGGACGTTCGCTCGTGAAAATGAAGAAAGCGGATACGATACTTCTACAGAGTCAGTGAATAATTTCTTTCGAATTGGAACATAGCGAGAATTAATTGAATATTTAACTGCAGTCGCTTTCGGGTTTCGACAGCGTGAACGATCATTTACATCGACACGCGTTGCACTTCCAGCACTGCGAGATGATATTATTAAATCTGGTGATTAATTTTTTGTTTAAAAATAGTTTCGAGAAATTTTTCCAGAGAAATTTAGAAATTTCGAGAGGCTGCAATTGCGCGCCGATTT